GGTCTAAACAAAAACTTATATTCAAAAATACTATACGGGAAAATTTATAGTCAGAGTATTTAGAATAGAACTAATATTTATTATAAATGTATGTATATACATATATATATATATATATATATTATTATATTTGTTTATTTGAAATATACTGAGGTGTAACCTACTGTCAGTCTTAACTTAAGTCATTAAATTCAAGTTATGTCAGGGATCTGACTCGACTAGCTTTTAAGCTATTTCAGATTCCATTTTACCTAGACTGCATGTACAATTTTGAGTATTGTTTGAAATATTTTTCTAGGTAAATAAATTATTATTAATACAGTGAAACAACCATGTTAAATTCTACAGGGATGCTTTAATTTGTTATCTATATGCAGGCTTCCTTTAAGTTTCGGCATATTACAAGAGTATATTAAGACCTATTTTTGCATCAAAGTTTATGTGTTTGAAAAACATATGAACCATATTAAATCAGTCGCATTCTAGACCATTACAGCAAGTCTCGCAAGTATAGGGGCAGCCAATTTGGAAACTTGCTAGCGAATCGGTTGACTGCTCACCCAGAGTGGAACGGCCACAAGACGGTGCCAGCGAGATTCAAAAGCCATCTGTTTAGTCAAAACCCAAGCAGTTACCCAATTCGCTAGCGAGTTCGCAAATCGGCTGCCCCAATACTTGTGAGACTTGCTGTAAGTATATAATAATTATGGCAGAACAACATCTGTCAAAGCAATTCATTTTCTATCAATTCTTAGACAACCAGCCCTTACCTGTTGTGTTTTATCCAGCTTACACTGAGTCACATCTATATCTGGCTCATTGCGACAAGTTGTTGGTCCAATCTCAATTGTCATTATGTAATTATATCCATGTACAACCTGGAAATATTCAAAATACAAGAAGTTACTGTGGGTAGACAGATCATTTTGAATGGGATGTAAAAGTGAAAGGTCATGGAAATGTCCTATTTGAAGGCTCAAGAAGATTTCAGAGAATCTCACTATCCAGGAAATAAGTCAAGCCCCAATGGGTTGGCATAGTCATTGTTACATTTATCACAGTAAATAAAGCAAGATGCGCTATAATAATAATAATAATGTACACCTGTCTATAGAAAAGTTGTCAAGGTCTCAACAATAATTTAACAGCAGCAGTGTATTCTCCCTAATGAATTACGTGCACTGTATAAAATGAAGCATTTGTATTAATCAATTTATATTACATGGAATGGATGCTACTGTAAATCTATTTTCATTGCTAGAAATGTTCACAATGTTAAGATTTCATGGCATTCGTGAAAACAAAATTTCACAGAAGTCACTAACACTCCAATCAAGAGCCTAGAGAAATACTGGGTATTATAACTGGGAAGAAATCAATGGGGATACAAGATTTGGGCAGAGGCAGAAATAGCGGTTCAAGACAAGCATTGAGGAGAGATGCTGGCCCTATTATCCACCAGGAGATATATAATTAAGTCAAATAAGTCATAACTGGAATAAGCTTGGTAGAATGGGGATGCCCACCTATTGTTTGTACGCATTCCTGGCCTTGTTCTGTTAACAATAAGTAATCGAGCATTATTATATGTCAACTTGAGTTTCATACCCTTTCCTTTACACAAGTACTGCCATAGCAAGTTATACAATATAATCCTAATGACTTAATCGGCAGTAGAGGCAAATAAACAAATACAACGTTTAATATATATTTATATATTACATGTATTTTATTGATAATTTTTTTTAATTTTTTTTTCTCATGTCAAGGGCCCGTGAACCATCTCTACGTTTTTGTGTATAAATAAAAACAGTATGAAACTCGCAACTCGTCAACAGGAATAAACAAGAGTTCGCTTTCTCTGATTGGTCACGAAGTTCAAACGTAGTTCACGAGAGGCGTTCACCCCTGGCTGCATTTCATTAGTGTGTGGGGGGGGGGGTGAAAAATTAATAATAAATAGTATTTATGCGGTTTATTTTGTGTTTGTTAACGTTATTTTTTGCGTTTTCTCTTGTCGATCGCTGCCGGAAGCACATCGTCAAGTAAACCAAAATAAGGTCGGTCATGGGTCTATGAACCCACTGTGATGAGCCATAGTACTGATCGAATTATTCGATTTTCAGTCCGAAGTGACGATACCCCCCGCCCCCGCCAACAGGCCCAGTCTCATGATACAAAGCAAATGTTCTGGAACCGTAAAGCGGCGGGGTGATCTTTGTTCGACTAATTCGAACCTAATTTGTCGGTGGAAACGGCTGTTTATTTCGACTAAAAACGATTGTTTACCTGTTGTTTGGCTGACAGGACTTCCACCAACTGACTCAAATACATTGCATTCGACATCTTATTCCATTCATCCACAGCAAATTCTGCAGCGTCCTGGACGCGATCGTCGTTGAGACCAATATCTTCCGGTGCTCCTAGCAATTTCCCTCGTGATAACGTAATAAGGGCGAATAAAGCGAGCGACACCAACATTTTGCCGTCGTAGAAGGAAGCCATGTTGTTTACAGAATGACGTAGACAGTTTCGAAAGAACGAATTACAATATTATTTGTGAGAGGGCGCTATCGTATTTGAAAACCTACCTACCAGCTGGGGTAGTTATAAATATACATGTTTACAAGAGAACTAACTGGTTATGATTGTGAACCACAACTGCCTCAGCACAAAGACTGTTGTATAATGAAAGGGAATGTAGAGGGAAATGTGTTGTTGTGTTACCTCTGTGCAATTTACAATATAGGATAGGATATTTTATTTGGAACATAAACAAAAACAATGCTTGAGTAAAGTCCAATATAAGAAACATACAGTATAACACAACTAATCTAAAATAATTTTAAAATCTGAAAAACAAAATTAGCTAAATTACCACAATTAGCACAAACATATTTGTCTACACTAGAGAAAACATTAATAAACAATTCTCCATTTGGTAAGGTTTGATAATCAGATGAGTATTTGAACAGTGCTTAGAGAAATTTTTTCCTCAGTGTTCTGAAAAACTGTCACAATGATACATCATTAGAGTCACACTTGTTACATACCCTGTCAATTTTATTTATTCCCCTGTGGCGGCCTATTTCAATTGGTAAGAAGTGGGCTGAAATACAAAATTTGGTTAATGCTACTGTTTTATGTTTTTTATATCATCTAAGTATTTTTCAAATTTATAATTATTTTTGAATGTTTTATAAGTACTTAGTTTATTATGACCAGTTTTGTTCAACTGACTTTCCACATTTGTTGAGTAAATTTGGTTCAACTTTTCTTTTAACAGATTGCAAAAATTTGCCTGATTAGTATCAGTGTTTGTCATATTTGTCATATTTTGTAATTTGTAAGTTTTTGGACAAATTTATACCAAGGATCGTATTTAAACCCACTGCTTTCTTTAAAAGCAGCTTCGATAATTATGTTGTTTGTTTTTTCACATGACAATCTTTGATAAAATTTCATGACAGTAGTACAAACATCAATCACAAGTGGGAAACGACCAAGTTCACCTCTACAAGCAATATTTGATGCCTTCCTGTGTACTCCCAAAACTCTCTTACAAAACTTTATATGAAGTTTTTTCTGGTAATATTTTGTCAGAGAATAGCTTTGATACAAAAACAGTATTATCAATCTCTGTTTTGCTATTGCCAGTTCCACTAAATAGATTAGTCAGAAAACTACCCCAAACTTCTGACCCATAAAGAATAACTGGTTTAATAACAGAATCAACTTGAAACAGTTTACAGGCTAGACTCACTGAATGGCATTCATTTGAATCCAAAAGCATTTTATACATTTTAAATGATGCTTTGTGAGCTTTTTCATACAACCTTGCTGTGGCTGTGGTAGTTATAAAAATTCACACATTAACCTTCATTGGGGGGGGGGGGGCAAGAAGGATGGATAGCTGGTAAAAGTAAAAAGGAAGTAAAAAAGGCATTTTACGTTTTTACAGGAAATAAAATGAAAGTTCCCTTTACAGTAAAAAATAGGTTTTTACATTTTACCGATAAAGCAAATTTCTAATTACATTTGATAATTTGATCAAAATTGGAAATTGCGTACGAATTATGACATTTCATTTGGAAAATGCTTTATTCGCTCACAAAAAATAATATCTTTGTACAAATTACGGAAGAATAAAATAGCTGATTACATTGTACACCTTGTCCATGTCTACGAATTTAAGTTACATTATTACGAAAATAAAAACGATTGATTACAGCTTACGAAAATACCCCTTGCCGACCCGCTTCATTGTTTCCGGCCGATCAGCTTGCACTATACATAAGATGTATATATATATATAACCAGAGGTACATTACTTGGGGTTTGCAACTCGCATAGTACTGTATGGTGACATCATGTCAAGATCCCATTCAAGTCTCTTCTCGTAGATAGCGAGACTGAGGCTACGACCTTCTGACATGACACATATCAATGTTCAAGGTTTGTAATGAAAAAATAAAACTTTTCTTGTCGCTATCATAGTGAAAAATGTAATACATCGAAAATGTACAGAAAATATAGTTCTCGTAATCCGTCATACCGTGGGCAGCTATTTTGATCCACCTGGACATCCCAGTATCCTAGTTACCTCGGGCATGCGCATTCGCATTTTTCTGAGTTGGAACGCTTATGCGAGAGCGAGATTGTGACGGGATCTTGGTATCATGTTACCGTAGTTACAAACCCCAAGTAATGTACCTCTGATATAACAAGTATTAGTGATTTTCGTGGTTTTCGGAGCGTGATGATTAAATTTAATAACATATGCTTGCTTTACATTACTAAACTGTTTTAATTCCATAATTTCTATTATTTTGAGCAAGGGCAAGGTCCTGTACCGGGACATAGTCGATCGGCCCCATAGACGTCAACGCATTGAGACGAATAGATTGTCAAGCCCCTGTGGGCGGGAAGGAGTCGTACCAGCTCTTTCCGTGAAACTTTCAGCGCGAGAATGAGATTAGCCTGTAATTCTGTCGAAACCAGAGGCGGCAGCACGAAATTTGCTCACCATCCCTTGTGCCCCATAGGCGCAACGGGTTGCGCATTTTTTCGCCCCCCGCCGTACCACTGTCACTGGAAACGATCAGAATAAATTACATAAAACGAAGCAAAACAAACCATTTCTGGTTAATCGAGGTCAAAATGATCTATTCGTCATTCTACCGTTTTTGTATACCAGTATAACCATAGATATGAGTTATGCTCAATACTGTAAACACTTTCATTATTCACGGTTTTAAATTTATTTTTCGCTAAAAAACCCAGTGAATTGAATCGATTAAATACCTGTGAAATTACTGTTTTTTTATCACTACCCTACAAATGTTAAGCAATTAGTTATGCATGAATGTTGTGGCTAATACAGTCAAGGACTTCAATAGGATATTGAACACAATACAAGTATGTACCTCACAATAAAACTGGTTTATAGTTGCTTGAGTCAACGGTGCTTGTGTTAATGATATATTTGAGTGTCAAGCAATTCTAGTTGTAATCTATGTTTCATAGATATCAAGTGAATACTGGTAGTCTGAAACTTCAATATAAAGATGACCTCCATTAATTCAATGAAAGGCTCAACGATTAATATTTTCAAAATGAAGAGAATTTTGCCAGACATTTAAAAAAACAGTAAGAATACTTCAGTAAATGATATGACAAATATTTCAGTCTATTGTGGTACTCTGTGTCAAACCCTAGATCCTCTCGAGTATTGGGGCAGAAACTTACCCAATACACAAAAATGACAATCATCATAAAGGGTATGCTACTATCCATCTCCAGTTGGTGACAGAGACAAGATTATCCCTTGTTGGTTTCAGTGACCAGTCTCAGTGGCAGTCAACGACCAGTCTCAGTGGCA